TCACACCCTTATCCTAGATGGGGGTCTGGTATGGATTTTAAGGGGGGACGCCAGGCAAAAAATACAAGAAGACACAAAGTGGAGATTGCACCTTTACAAAATGCCCCTTTCACATCATCCCCTATTAGCAAACATTTGAAGGCACTCCTAAAAAAGCCAGAAGGCACACCAGGGTGGCGTGCCATGCCATGGTTAAGGAAAAACGTCTGTTCTATCTAATAGATAAGGAAATAACAAATTATTAAACAGTTATTAAGTATTAATATTAATGAGACCATTGTTGCTGTATCTGTTCCCAAGAAGTGCGAACGTATCCTCTACACGAAGCAGCATGTCCATCCGGTCGCAAAGCTCATAATCAACATCTTCAGTGTGATTCAAAAACAGCCGTCCATCATGTGCCAGCCACAACCAGTCGTAGCAGATGCTGCCTGCATCTTTAGAATTCTTAAAGCAGGAAACAGTCAATGACTGGAATTCCAGATGATGGACTGTGTCAGGATCAGTGGCATTTAGAAGTGCAATCTGCTCTGGATCACCTGTCCTATTTTCAACAACATAGAGATCCACCAGAGTTGATGGGTCTATATATGGAGGTTCATCATTGAGATCAAGCACTTGTACAGTAACTGTGGCACTTGCAGTGTTGCTGACGCCTTGAAATCCATAGTCCTGTGCTTCAACAATTAAAGTATAAATCTTCTGCTGCTCATAATCCAGTTGGACTTCAGGATCTAAGAACAGCTCCCCAATATATTGGCCTAGAGCCTCTTGTTGTCCTCGGATTATAAAGTTTCCGGATCCGCCTTGAGAAATACGGAAACTAACACGGTTGTTTAATTCAGTCTGATCTGCATCACTGGCATTGAGGCTCCCAACAAAGGCTCCTGAAAGGTGGATTGAGTTTAAATTAGCTATGACTGTATAAATACATCATATTATATCTTATATCATATGTTTTAGCCCTGTCGCTGCTGCATATGTATGTACTATGTCCATGGCAGGAGGGACCTGTACTATATACAGTATATATATAGATATCTACATATCTATATATATAGATAGATATATCTATCTATATATAGATAGCTATATCTATATATAGATAGATATATCTATATATAAAGCAATAAAGTATAATAAATGTAAAAAAAAATTACATTAATTAAAAAACTTCCATAACATTTCTTAAAGCTCCTCGCCCTGACATGCACGCACATAACGATCGTAAACACATCCATCACATGTGCCTATGTAAGAAAACATCGAGGCCTGATGTGTGTTTGCCATCTGTTTACTTATTGCAACCTCAACTTTATATTTTACCAAAAAACTGGATATTATATTGTGTTTGTGTGCACTAAAATATGTTTGAATTTCATTTTTACTGAAAGCCTGGATCTGATAAACTGTTGTGCAAATATTGTGTGACATAAAATGCTTTTAGCAATTTTCAGGCCTAAAAAAAAAAAGCAAAAATTGCTCTGGAAGCAAAATAGTTAACATTTCCGTGATGTGATGATCCGATCACCGGCGCACAGTGAGTGAGGGGAGGGGAGGGAGGGAAGGAGGGAGGGAGGGGGGTAGAGAGAGAGAGATTAATTAAGCAATTATATATGTATTGTCTGCACTGTATTAGCAGTATATACTCTATATAGAGTATATACTGCTAATACAGTGCAGACAATACATTTACAATTATACTAACATGAATGTATTAAATGATCTGTATGTAGCCCTGTACTATGGATCATTTAACCCATTCATGTTAGCAGAGGATCATTGTAAATGTATTGTTGCAGGCACTCTATATGTACATGTACTATATACTACATATAGAGTGCACTGAACAATAGATTTACAATTATCCTCTGCTAATATGAATGGGTTAAATGATCCGTAGTACATGATATGTAGCCCTGTACCCCCTTTTCCACTTACAGAGCTAGGTTATTTTTCTTTTAAATAAATATTAATGTAATTTTATTGGTATCTATCTACCAGTAGCTGCCTCATTTCCCACCCTCGGCTTATATTCGGGTCAATACTTTTTCCCAGTTTTTTTTGCTAAAATTAGGTACCTCGGCTTATATTCGGGACGGCTTATACTCGAGTATATACGGTACTTTTTTTTGAACTAGAACTGGTGTAAGGCCATGGTTTTCAACTGGTGGTTCACGACCCTAACGCAGGTCGCAACCCTGTGTTGGGTAGGTCACCACCTTCCACTGCGCTAGGCGAGATGATGCTCAGCCTCCCCCTAGTACAGCACTGTCAGTTCTCCATTCAAAATATGCTGCCTAGCGCCAAATGTCAGCTTGAGGTGGGGTGGGGGGTTGGCTTGTGGGTATGGCCGCAAGGGAGCTCTATTCATTCGTGCATTGCTTACAGGTCTCATGCGTGCACTGTAGAGGTGCCTGGACCGGAGTAATACAGCAAAAAGTTGTTTTGCTGGACCGGAGTAATGTCACATTCTGGCTCCTGACACCTCTACAGGACACACAAGTGAGCTGCACAAGCAATATACATATGGATGGAGCTTTGTCACAGCACAGCAGCCCACACTGGACCCCAGGCTGAGTATCCACTCCAGCTCTTGTAGGACAAGGACTAGGAGACTGAGTGGACCTTAACCAAAAAAAAAATTACATTTTTTTGGAACTGTGTATGTGTGTGTGTGTGTGAGAATGTCTGTGATTGTGTGAAATTGCGTCTGCGGTTGTGTGTGTCTGTCAGTGTTTTTGAGGACCCGTTCACACTAGTACAGTACTAATACTAGTAATGTACCACGCAGTTGCACCTCCCGCACATTCTGGTGCAGGAGGTGCGTTGCATTGGCATTCATTTGAATGGCACCCCAAACGCAGCTCCCGCCCACAGTTCAATCGCACACACTGGAACACGTGGTACCTTGCGTTCCAGTGCGGTGCGACTTGGGTCGCGACTTAATGACCAAGGACAAATGTGGGTCCAGAGGTTACGAAGGTTGAGAACCACTGGTATAAGGTATTGCTGCAGAATATGCCCTAAAAAACTGGAGTTGCATTCAGTAATATTTTTCGGTGGAAAAGAAAGAGAGAGAGAGCAATAGATATACGGATAGGTAGATAGATAGGTAGATAGATAGATAGATAGATAGATAGATAGATAGATAGATAGATAGATAGATAGATAGATAGATAGATAGATAGATAGATTTGCAGCAGACAGAGCTATATATTTGAACATATATGCATGTTTTGCAGTATGATTTTCCGTTCCATCCAAGCAAGCAATAATGATGTAGCAATAGTGAAGAAACAAAAAATTATGAATAAGTAGCAAAAAAAGTAACAGTTCAGTCCATTTACATAATTTTACATGATTGCCTGGTGAGAACTTACCTATTGTACTTTCATTAACAGAAAATGTGTATTGTTCTTGAGTAAAAATTGGAACATTGTCATTTAAATCCTGAAAAATAAATTAATATACTATGTTAGCACTGATAATCAGTTAAAGCAGAACTCCAGTTTAAGAAAATAAGATGCCCAGGAGCAGTAGTGTCACAATCTGAACTGATATAGCATTACCTGTTATGGATCACAACTGCAGAGGGGATAGTGCCAAGGAGTTCAAAGTGGCTATGTGAAGTCAGAGATGGGATGCAGGTTAAATACACATGTGAAAGTAACTATTGAAAGATACGTTGCTGTGCCACTGTATTGCTTTCACACAGTCTATAACTAAAGTTCATATACTGATGAGCAGGTGTTATTACTTCATACACCCTGATAATGAGTTTACATGAAAACACATCACAGGTAAGTAATCTGTATTACAACATACAAGTCCACGAGTCCACAAGTCTTTTCATGGAAATAACTTGGTAACAACTCAGAGTAACTTCTCTGAAGGGAAATGCTTTCACCCTGAAGCATGTGAGTATTAGTAAGCTAGTGTGAATACTTGCGGTTAGCAACGATGGATGAATTGTTTGTGCTAGTAGCAGGCAGTTAATCCCACAGCTGAAGGAGCTCAGGTCAGCAAGAAGTATGCTGAAATTGAATCCACTATTCCACTATAGCAGGTTTGTGTCAGCTTCCCAACAGAGTCCAGTGTGGAGAGGAAACAGGAGTTAATGATTAGCAAATGCAGGCTAAAGACAGGAAAGCTTCCTGACAGAGTCCAGGATGGTGTGGGTCTGCTATTGAATCTGCAATTAGAGGCTTCAGGATGGAGAGAGGATGGAGAGAGGAGTTGCACAGAGCAGGAGCGTGCTCAGCGCCACAACACAACAAGACGCTGAGCAATTCAAAACCTCTGGTTAAATCTGGGAGCTAGCTGAAGGGGGACAAGCATCGTGAAGCAGCTGGAGTGGGCGGTGCTGCATGTTCTACCTGGAGCATGGCCAGGTAAGTCTATTACAGTACCCCCTTGCAAATGACCTACTCTGGGGGTCCTGAGTGGTGAGGGTCATTGAGGGTACTGTAAATGGAATTGTTTAATGAGGTTGGGAGCGTGTACATTGGAAGGGTCTTCCCATGAATCCTCCTGAGGACCGTAGAATTCACACTGTAATAAATATTGCAACTTATTCCGGAATCTGCGGGAATCTATAAATTTTTCTACCTCATATTCCTCTTCACCCTTTCTTGAAGGGGTTTTGAGAGTAACGTTTTTCATGGATAACCACACAAGATCACCTATGCATTAATGTGGAGGGTTTCTCCTTCTGAGATCATAATAGTTTTTGTCTAGCATATGGCTTTTGAATGTTGGATTTAAGATATTCAGTAGTTTGTTGTAAACGTAGAATATAGTTGTCTGTGGCAGGATTGTTTGTATAGAGAAGATTGGTTGGAAAGGGGTTTGGGTGAAACCCGTAATTAGAAAAGAATGGAGTCTGGTTGGTAGTAGAACTAATAGAATATTTGTAGAAAAATTCTGCCAAGGGAAGTAGATCGGCCCAATCGTCCCAGAGATACAGTAACATCGTATAAATTGTTCTAGACATTGATTAATTCTCTCTGTTTGGCCATTTGTTTGTGGGTGATACGCACTGGAGAGACTGTGATCAATTTGTAATTTGAGACAGAAGGCCTTCCAAAACCTGAATATAAACTGTGTAGTGTGGTCTGTGATTATTTGACTTGGGACTCTATGTAATTTAATATTATTTAAGAGGAATGCCTCTGTAGTTTCCAAAGAATTTGGTAATTTTTTGAGGGGTACAAAATGTGCCTTTTTTCTCAAGAGGTCAATAGCTACCAAAATAGCGCTCTAGTTTCTGGAAGGAGGGAGATCAACGATGAAATATAAGGAGATAACCTCCCATGGGTTATTGAGTATGGGTAAGTTTGTTGACAACAATCCATATGGTCGTCCTTTGTCATGTTTTGAAAATGCACAGATCTCACAAGTGGTTAAATACTCTTGCATAGATTTGAACATGTTTGGCCACCAGAAGTATCACCTGACTAGATCATGTGTTTGGGTGGCCAGCTAGGGGCGCATTATGCATTAATTTTAAAATTTGTACACGCAGTAGTGGAGGTATGTATAGTTTGGAGTCTTTATATAAGAACCCTTCTTCATTGGCGACAAATCCCGGAGGTAACGGAGAACCAGCGGATTGTAAAGCCTCTAAGTTGTTGTTTCAAGTTAAGGGTAACAGATATAATTTTATTTTCGGGAATAATGGAAGCTTGACAATGGATATTATACATATCAAATATTCATATGCCATATTTCATATTTACATCACTAAAAACTTTTTTTCCCCATTTAAACTATTTACCTAGATCATAAAAATTGAAGAAAATATACACAGATATACTATACCCATATATTCCCTTAAATTTTCTTTTTTTATTATATTTTTTAAGCTAAGCCTCAATTTAATAGTTCCTATTTAAATGCTATACTTGGTAGTGGCTTGCTCATAAAACATTAATGCTGTGTATTGTGAAATAAAGATTTTTAACCCTTAGCGTAACATTACCTCAAAATTAATAGTCACGATTACTTCAGATGATAGAGAGGGGTATCCCAGATCATATAATTCTACTGTAAGTTCAATGCGTCCCTTCATTGTTATATCAATTTCTTCTCGATCCAAAGGAGCAAAGCTGGTGATAATGCCAGTGGTAGAATTAATTGTGAAATTTTCACTTAAGTAACCTGGTAGTAACCGGAATCTTATTATGCTGTTATTATTGCCTGGTTCATCATTATCAATAGCCTAGGAAAAAGAAAAAAAACATCCATATGAAATAATGAAAGGTGGAATGACTTCAAAGCATGCACATAACATGGTACCCATTAACATGGTTCTTTACCTTAATCTCAATGAAGACCTCGTCAGTGTTCTCATAGACAAATAAATTATATGTCCCTATTGCTTCTGGAGGCCAGTCATTAATATCAATTAAAGTGATCTCTAGAAGAGTAGTTCCAGTGGCATTCATTCCATCCCGAGCTTGCAGAGTGGCATAATACTGAGAAAGCCGTTCTCGATCCAAAAGATCCCCATTGACCACTGTGATTTCTCCAGTAGAAGGATTCACGTTGAAAGAGTTAAGTCTAAAAAAAGGCAATTATATTACTTTATAAATAACCTAGAGCAACATTTGTTCTGTATCTATGCTGTCCCCAAATAGTTGTCAGTAGCAGTGTTGTAATTAAATAGAAAAGAATAAAAGGGTGAAAATTCTGTCATGATTACTGTCTTTTAAGTGGACCTATACTTAAAAGGTTAGCTTGTTGAGTAGAGGCTTATTAGCACAGGCTCTGTGAAACATGTAATAGCTGATTGGAAGCAGCAGAGCACTTTCTTAAATGTAACAGTGACCAGGCACCCTACATCTTTCTAGCTTCACAGGAGCCTATAAGGAGTTTTATAGGCACAGTTGCCCACTCTAGCTTCTGATTACTGAATTCCACTGATGGTGACATCAAGGGACAGGACACTGAAAAAGTGGACACTGAAAGAGGCTTTCTTTAAGTGCTACTTTATTCACAACTGAGTTTTCTTACACTGCTTGAAGTACTGCCTGTGTCTATGTCTGCTTAAAGCCCAGCTCGGGAC